CTTGCACTGTCTTTTTCATAAAGATTATTTCTTTCAATAACATATCATTTCTGTCTAACGTTAAACGGGTGGAATTTCATTCTGCGTTCAAAAAGTCAATTACTTTCGTAAGAGTATGTTTTCCCAATCTACAGCTAGACACGTGTTTCTGGATATTCCACATTTAGGAGGTACTGTTCACTCGAAGATAGAAGAACTTCCGACGTATGTTTTCTACAAAACAATCAAAGAAACACTACTTACTGATTTAGAGCGTATGTTTCATTAATTATTCAAGGTGGTTGCAAATGTGACTTTGGTTGGTGAAAAATATTTAATGAACATAACTTTGTAAAACTGAAATTTGTGAGGTAAAATAACTAAAATATTTGAATATTACGGAAGCAGTTGAAGATGAATAAAATGAAGAAAAATGAGATGAACTAGTATTATTTGTTTCAAATGTTTAATTAAACAAATGCAATTTTGGTAACCATTTAACATAAAATAAAACGGTTACAAGAAAAATTGAATTTTTTTTGCAAATAAGGCCATGACCTGAGACATGATATAACTAGACCACTTAATATATTAATATAATACAATGCCGGACATTAATTAAATTCGTTTTTAGTGTTGAAATAATTCAATGGAAATATTAGTCTTATTATAATCATTTTTACGCTCTTGTGGTAATATTTATAACTATAAGTATAAGTAACATAGTGTAACAAAGCATGTTATGTCGTCGTTAACTTATGTTTCACACACAGAAAAAAGATACATGTCGTTTGATTAAAGATACAGGCAGTTTTTTCAGCATTAATGTCATTATTCTAATTAACAAAAACTCATTTTTTAATTTTTTTAATACGTTAAAAGCAAAATCAAATGTGTCTCTCGGCCTAAATTGTATAAAATTACAAGTTTACAATATTATTGACAGCATTTTGAAAAAAGAATAATTTCAAAATGCATGTAAAAAATAATTTCAAAATGCATGTATGAAATAAATTGTATTGGTATATTTCCTTAAAAGCGAATGTACAAATGCACGAATTCATTGGTAAACGAATTAATACATATTGATACATTTCATTCTATTTACTTAGAATATAGCTGTGTGCTAAATAACAGAGACATTCTTTGATACAACCCTTTTGAGAATCAACCTTAAAGTTATGGAAACAACTTTATTATACTGTTTATAAATCTTTACACATTACATCGGATTCATTTAAGTTTTGTTTCAACTAGCATTTATAGAAAAGTATTGTGATTGATACTCGGTTTTGTTCAGCCTATAATGGCAGTGGTTCATGCATGCTACCGTATGTACCCCAAGAAACGGCTTGAACAGACTTCAGCATGAAAATGGTGTTATCTAAGAAAAAAATACCATTCGCAGAGATATACTTCACTTGCAATTGTAAACAATAAATGAATAATATTGACAAAGAAGCAAGCAATGAAATGGATATTTAACATGTTGTGGACACCTGCAAAACCATTCATCAAGATGAGGATAACCTTATAGCGATACGTATGACATATTTTCTTCGATTACGATGTGCATGAAATCAAAAACTATAGAGATTGTTAAACATATTCATAGATTAAGACTTAAAAGACAAGATTATCTAAAGGTATCTGAGCTGAATCGGACTGGTATAGTCTATGTGATAAAATATATGACCCGGAAAAAGAATAGCGTGTTTAGTGTGCTGGTATGTGTTATGTTGAATGTTTACGTAATTATTGTAACGCCCATTCGGATATGACGTTCTTGCAAAGACCAACCATTTGAAACCTAGATAAGAGTATCACAGCAATTATCTGAAAACGATAATGTGTCGCAATCATGCAGGAAACGGGAGTTCAACGAATGAATTCTCTTACTGTATGCCATTCATATAGTTTAAACTTCATTATTTCAAGCGTATGATATGACTTTATCCGCAGCGAATAAATATGTATTCAGAAAGTAAGTTAATATTAGCCAATGAGTTAATTCATATAATTAAAAATCCATAGACCAATACAATTTGTCATGACGTATTTCGCCTTTCATAGAATTTCAAATTTCCGTATGAAGAATATATGATTTCAAAATTAACTGAAGAATAGTGAGCTTCTTCAGGTTTGCTTATTCAGCTCTTCATTAAAAAAAGCGCTCCATACATTGCTTAATTTTTTTTAAAATTATTAATGTGAATAATAAAAACATACTTTTGGAAAGAATAATGCATAGCAAACAGAAAAGTAGTGCAAATTAGTTTAGTCCAGGATATAGGTAAAAAATATAAAAACCACGGGTGAACCGATATAGAACTTTTATTATAAGTAAGTAATTCCCAAAGCCTTGTCGTGTCATGGTAAATACAGATTAATGACGATATTGTTGATGCAGTAGGTAGATATACAAACAATCAAAGCTAGTGATACAGTCACTGTAAGTTACCTGAGACGCTGTTTTACGTCACAGGCCCGTTTGATAGGCATCACGCATGTCTACAACCGCTACTGTTTGTAAGTTTTCAGCAATTCTAACATGATGTGATATAATCTTAGTACATACTTTTGTCATCTAGATATTTGGTACACTCTATCTGCTACAAAGTAAGTAAGTGTTCTACATATAAATATACGTGGATAGAGATATATAGGATTGAAAAGAACTATTTCTCAAATGCTGATGACATTCATATTGTTTGAAGTTGAAGAAATGATCATGATATCTTAGAACATGCAAACATTATGAATTAAAATATGCATATAACCTTTATTTAAATAATACCTATTATTATTTTTTTCTCTTTTCTTTCCTTTTGCAATAGGGTCGGTACAATTTTTCTTTCGGTTAAAGCATTTCAAAATACTATATGTATTACATAAATTTCTGACATTTTCTTTGTAGTTTCTCGCACAATAAAATCTATAAAAATGGAAATAATAGATCATTGTCTTGTTTTAGAGTATCACAGTAATTACGTAATTAACAAACGTAAACAACAGATACATTGTAAACACGTTTTTATTAGATACATATTAAGCATGAAAGAAACAGCAAGTATGTAGCAACGAAATATTCTATTATTTATACAGTTGCATAAATATACATGTCATAAATATTTATATCTTATTGCCTTGCTTCACTTCGTTATAGGATTTATTATAAAGTTAGTCATAAATGATACATTATTAACAATAACCTTTAATAGCCGTTCAGATTCCGCCCCAACCCGCCACCAATTGATCTGCGACGTTTTTCTTAAAAAAATGAATGCATCATCTTCATAACATTTTACATAACAAAATCTGTATACTAAATATTTAAGTCTGTATGGCAAACTCTATATATAATTTCCTGTTAAAAGTACATCGATTTTAATATCATATGAAGTTAGTTTTCAAAGACGCATATAATAAACAATACAAAACAAATAATAAACCATTTCTTGATTTATGAATTTAAATTTGATTTCTCTTCCATATGTTATACCAACCATAAACCAACTCGATAAATACAGATACATAATCTGTGAGTTTTAACTATTTGTCCTTGTTTATTTTCCTGTTTTCAGAATTTTCGCCAGGAATGTACTTTACAAAGGTATTAAAACAACTTGCAGGAATATATTTGCATGGCAGTAATTTGAAAATTAAACACAATTATGTTAGAAGTTTTTATGATAAATGTATATAACATACACAATATAACTGTAACATTGAGTTCAAAGGGCATCAAAAGTAATTGATTTTAAATGTGATACATTATAGGGACTGCTATTTTTTTCCTCCTGCCATTTCGGATATATAATCACCTTCCGAGAATACGCCACAGAATGACTATGTTCACCGTTACCTGTTTAAAACATGTTTCACATCTTTACCCAATTAACATTTCCGACGGTATAATGAATAATTAGCCGCATCACTGACCAACTTTTTGATGATTAATTCTTCAAAGATAGTATCACCTGTAGCACACCGGCTCGTTCGTGTGTAGGTAATCACCCATTAAATCTTTAACAACATTCCTTTAACTTACATTTATGTATATTATTACTTTGACCAGTCGTACTATCTTAGTAATTTTTTTCGCAATTTCTTTTCATTTTTGCTGCAGCTTTCAAATTCAGCTGTTTTTACCTTCAAATGTTTAAAATATATACAATGTACATGTAATACACAGATGTTAGAGGACTTTTGATACAAGTATGTTCATAATTATTAATATTTTTTTCCAATTCCCTTATAGCAGAGTGCCCTATAAATGTCAAATTAAGGTCTGATAAAATTGCCTAAAATAACAAACATACATATTAATATAACATACATTTATCTAAAAGAATGTTTCATAGGTCATATTTCCTGTTTTGCAATACATAAATTAATCCAATATTGAATTTTCTTTTATTTATAATTTTCTTTATATTTTTATAATATATCAAAAATTATCTAAACTGTCATTGTGAAAATGAATTTAAAAATAGATTTTACTATTAATTAAAATTTTAGCAATTTAAATATTTAAACACAATGGCATACTACAACTTTATAATGTCACTTTACTAAATGTACGTCGTGATATTTCAGTTTTATATTGTCCAAGAGCTTCCCACTGCATTAATAAACCTGTGTTCTCAGCGTTTAATTAATGTAGTACAATAGTTTAGTACTGTGTGGAAGAAAAATTAAAGTGTTTTGCAATACAGCAGTATTATAGTTGTTTCAAGGTACTAATTTTGTTCCAAATACGACAAAGAAACTTGTAAATGGAAAAACCCGAAAACTTGTATTCTCTTTGTTGTTTCTTTTTATCAATAGAGAAAAAAAGTTTTATACAATTAGATGTTTTAACTGAAACCTATCTACCAAAGTTGTAATTGAATTTATCTGTTCGCGTTACACACTTCGAACAGGTAGAAAAACATGAAAGGCTCTGCGGAAAAATAATACGAAAGTAAAATGCTAGTGGCATCGACTGGTCGTTAAAAGTGTTATAGTCTATTCATCAGATACATTGATGTATGCTAGATTAACGCAAAAATCTATCCACTGTATGTAACATAGGGGTTAAGTGAAAGGCATGCGCCGATAAAACAAAAGCATGGTAAGATCAAATAAGCAGTGCAGTTGTACAAATCAGAAGGTCGTCTGTTGGCTTTTATTTGTAGGGTAATGAAAAGGAACGCGGGTCGCAGAGGTCTGCTAGCAACCTAACTAATGAGAGACAATAGTTTGTCTTTAAACTACGTACTCGATATGTGAACGTAGGTTATATAGAGAACATGGAAACGCAAGCGTTCCTTTATGTTATATGGGATTATGTCATAACAATAAAAATTTTGACGGAGACTTACAGGAGCGACTCGTAATAAAAAATTTTGATTTTAAGAATTGACTGATTACTTTATACATATGTATAATGATTGGTTTGTTTCGTGATAAAGAATTAACTTGAATAAAAAAAATATGAAGAGCAAATACTGGATGAATTAATTTGCTTTGGTAGTGTAAGGGTAAATATTAGAATAATTTTGAATGAAAAAAGTGTGATAAATGTTCATGGATTTAAATTAAACTTTATTTAATAATTACTAATGCAGTGAAATTTTGTGCCGGTATTATTTTATTTTTATAAAGAAAGGGATTTACATTTCCTGGATATAATGATGTGCCTAAGGGACCAGCAAACAGGGTTCCTCAGACCCCCGGACAGATGTCATCCTTACGACTGCTTCCCGCCGACGGTGTGTACTGTTTGATTATATCGTTATTATTAACTAAATAAGCTTATCCGTTTAACAATTTATACATATATTCTATAATTACTTTTGTATATAGAATGAATACAAGTGATTTGAAATTTTTTTAATTTGATTTACTTTTATTTTATATGAAAAAAAATATTCGAAAAAAATACCTTGTCGAATAATCCGGACAATCATGGCCAAATTGATGGTCATCATATTATAGAAATTAAAACCGAAAAATTTGGCACCTTTTTGTAAAATATCTCTTCTTATTGCATACGATATACTGAGCAGGTTTCTTTTGTATTATTAGTTATAAATCTCATCGTAATAAAATATTTGGCAATGGACTGTATGGTTATTCTTATTTTGGAACCTGGAATTGCCAGAAATAAGTATTTAAAGAGATTAGAATATTTGGCTCTGTGAAGGGAGCATTTGGCTGGCCGAAGACTTGCTCATGTTCGAAGTTGGCTACAATTCACACATTTCACATCAATGATTTCCGGATTTATTTCATGTTCGGTGTGTATTGAGTTAGACAAAAACAATTAATAATATGTGATTTAGTTTAAGAATGATTTGTATTGTTCTTAGTCTTAGTATAAAGTACTGTGTGTGTAGTATTCTTTCATAGTGAACATTTTAGTGCGTATATGGAACCATATAACATTCGGTAAAGTATCATTATTTTAATTGCTAAAAGACGAATGATATAAGAAACAGAATAACAAGTTTATGTTATGTTTTCATCTTGTCGTACAATGATATACTTATTCAAATTTAGTATATTTTAATGATAAATCCAATTAACGTAGTTATGCTTTTCGCTACAATTCCAACTGTGCTCTTAAAAGCTGACTTTGTTATTCCCGTAAATTTTATTGAATGCAACCGTGTATCAATGTATGTATAATAGAAACATATCCTAAAGGCATATTATTTAGTCTATGAGGTGTTGAAAGATATAACTTTCTACAATTCTAAGCACAATGTTTGAGTGCGAATCTGTTTTAACATAATTGAAAGATAAATATATGATCTCAATTCATTTTGTAAGAGAGGTTTTCATCACATTAAAGAGATGTTCATCGTGTATTATACGGATGTAAAATGTCTCTTTATGTCTTTGAAGACACATAATGTTTCATAATATAAAATAAATAAAAGGTGTTTTCATTTTAGCTGAAGCTTGTACGACCATAAATCAACTTTAGATTTGTTTAAAAACTTAAGTTGTGAATAATTAAAAGTTATTCGTCTTACCTTTTATCACCACTTTACCTTTTTTACCCGTTTTTCAAAGCGTATAAAACAATCAAAAATATCCACAGATTTAGATGGTAACAATAAATGAAGTACACTAAATTAACAAAAGATATTGTTTTCGTAATAAGGTTATTATCGTGTTTAAGACTAAACTAAAATGTTGCTAAAACACAGACGTACTTTAATTATATAGGGGTGTACACAATTTTGTGAAAAAAATTAACAAAATGTTATGTAATACAATAGACTTGAATTCTTTAACGCCTTTTTCTAAAAATATGAAATAAATACTCAAACGTATTAAAATGACATTTCATCCGGTAAAATCAAATTAAATGTAATTAAATAAAATCATGTTTGATATCTTTGATATTTTACAGCTAGCAGGACCACGCCCGCCCCCTGGTGACTGGTTTCCGCCTTATGAAGGATATCCGCCGGTAAGTGAAAAAAATGCATGTGACTACTCAGTATAATTAACATGAATTTATTGACCAGTAATGCTTGTTTCTAAATTCTTAAATTGTAATTTATTTTTTATCGTTCGCAAAATCATGAACATTTGTTTGTTTATGAGGTTTTCATTATTAATTAATCATGAAATAGTGCAACACAAATTAGCTGGTAATTCCATTGCTGATGATATTTTAGAGTAAGCTCTTTCTCAATTGTATAGTACCAATTTATACATGAGGCGATGTATATAAGCATTGAATTTGTTTAATCTAAAAATAAATTAAATTAACAGAAACAAAATCATATATGAAACGGTGTTTCTAATTTAGGTACAATAAAGTTGAGCAATATTTCTAACGCGCTATGAATAAGACTTGTATTTATTTAATCTAAAAATAAACTGAATGAATAGAAATAAGAACATTTATACAAAAACCGCAGATTTCTAATTTAAGAACAATAAAGTGTAGCATGTCGTTAATTCTAGTTTAGAAATATTATTATCATTCCCCAAATGCTTCATTTAGTTTGTTTGGAAATGGGAGTGCGCGCGGCACGTGGCTTCACAAGTTTGTTTAAAATACCGGTGATGGATGAAGACAAAGTGTTGTCGTGAAAATATGAAAACAACATGCGGTTTAACAAGATAAATTGTGTTAGGAATGCAAACAAATCCCGCGATTTTCCATGCCGTGTTAAGTACATGTTGTCAAAATGACGACATTTTGTGTATTATTTATTGTAAGAATAAAGTATCAATATTTGAAATGAATTAATATCCTGATAATAACATAGCGAAAATGGTTACAGTGCATGATCAGCAAACTTTATATGATAAATGTCAAAAGTTTTTTTTTTCTAATGACTTAAAAATATTTTGTCAAATAGCTGCACTGGACAATTTATGCCAGATTTGTCTAAAAGATATTCTTAGATGTGTTATGGTGTACAAAAATACCTCAATTAATTTCATGGAACGCGTGCCGAGTATAATCGAATCATCTTAGAAAACGTTGAAGCTTTGATTAGAATAAATAATTCCTATGGTTAATAAATATTGCATAAAATTTGAAACTCTCTATCTATAAAACTTGATAAATCCGTACAAATAAGACAGACTTATCTTCTTTAGAAGGGATAATATATCACTAAGGCTTTCAGGCAATCTTTATGCTTCTTCTAGAAGTATAAACTATCATTTGTACACGCCGTGTGTTTGGAACATGATTGATGGCGTTTTATTTAAATACTTCTTTCAGTGCTAAATGGCGTTTCTTCCCGTTTTCCTTCAATAGCCATGTCTCTATGCTATGTACTTTCATTAATAAAGGAATTCAGGAAATGAAAGACTCGCTTCCTTTTGTAAAATGAATAATCATGGTGTGGCGGTATTTATATTATTATTATTGTGCATTCCATAGCGGTATTAAATTATGATGCTTCAGCACTTAACCTTCTGTAGAAATCACAATTACGTTCACCTAATAAATAAGTATACAATGTGTTATCGTTTACATGACAGGCATGATAATGACATGCTATATTGTTGGTTTTCGAAATGAAACACAAATGCATCTCTTTTCATATCCATTCCGCCCCTCCCCCGCATAAATATTGATAGTGTCGTCCACATGTTATATAATGTTGTAATTTAAGAAATACTGAAAACAAACTAAGATGTGTTCCCTTCAGCCAATTACTTATCAACTTGACTTTACGAGTTACTTTTTTAAGTTTTAATTTCTATATCAGTGAACTGTATATATTCTTGTTAGAAATTGTTGCCATAGTTATATATCATGTTATTTAATGTTGTAATTTAAGAAATACTGAAAAACAAAGTAAGAAGTGTTCTTCAGACAATTAAATATCTACTTGACTTTTCGAGTTACTTTTTAAGTTTTAGTTTTTATGTCAGTGAACGGTATAATTATATTCTTGTTAAATTGTTGCTAAAACCATTGCTTTAGTTATATACTTATCATTTGCACATGAAGCAATTAAATTAGTTTAAACCTATGTCCTTTTACTCTCTGCGTTTTAATATTTTTTTACAATGGATTGTCAATAATTCTGAAAATAGTAGACTCTGTCTTGAAAAGAAATAACCTACTTGTGTGCCGTTTATTCATTAATTGTTTGGAAATCTTTTAAATTCTGGCGTAAATGGTGACAAAATAAAAAAAGTATAAAAAACAATCGTATATTACTTGAAAACTTTAAGACTTGATAAATCTATTTAATTCGGCTCTGTGCGATATAAAACGTACATTTTTCCGAGGTTCCGAGGGAATGTAAAAATGTATTTGATTATTATAATTATGATAAATTATGTGATAACTTATTATTAGTGTAATAAAGAAACTGAATTACAAAAAATAACGACATAAAATAACTGTTCTGTTTTGTTTTGTTAATGTTATGTTATACATATATATAGACATTATGTAAACTCTTTGTCCATTACTTATTGTCTCTTATTGCATTATTGAATTACTAACCTACGTGTACATGTATAGTGTTGATTGTTTAAAATCTTAATAACAATAAACATATTAAGTATTCCTTAAACATATAGTGTTCTTTTACATGACTTCATAAGGAACGGGTGATATAACACGTGACCCCATCCATTTGTATATGTTTCTTTTCATGTTCAATTTGTATTGTTTAAATGCATTGACTCATACAATAAAATAGTACTTAATTCACCGTAAATTGTCGTTTGTTTACCTGGAACTTTCAAAAGGTGGTACTTTCACAAAGTTCAACTGATGTTTTATAAGATCTTACCTCGTAAACAAATTAAAGAAAGGTTGGTGTATGTCTTGTTTTGTCACATTTCTGGAACGGGAATTATGTTAGTCTGTCTATATGGAATGACAACAATTGTAAAATTATTTTCTCTGAATGATATCATAAAGCAAGAAAGCGATGAGAAACAGCAAAATCACTTTTCGACAATCCATTTTATGATTAACATGTGTAATAGAAAGAAATACTAGTACATAACGGTTATATTACACTGACAACAAGCGACATCAAATGATATCATATCAATATTCTCAAGAATACCCAAAGTTACAATATGACTGGATGGTTCATTTAATATGTTTTAAATGTTAATTTCATTAATACAGACATTAATACTAACTTTAACCTTTATGATTGAGAAAAATGATCATTTTATCTTTTGAAATAGTATTTAAATCAAGAGACAAATACTATTTTTTTTACATTTTTATATGAAGCGTAATAGAGGAAGAGGTACAATTTAAAAGTTATATTTTTACTCCAATTAGACATAATTATGATAATTTAGTAACACAAAATCTTGACTTTTTAAATATTTCTTTTACATGTGAGAATATTAACCAAATGCATTTTTAACATCATAGCATATTTAATATATTATTATAACATTATGTTAATCTGTAAATCTGCTAATTCTCTTTCTTTAACATTCCAGAGTATTGTGGAAAAATGTTCATAACTCAAACATATGTATTCAAAGAATTGTCAGTTTTGATTTAGATTGCACGATTTTCTCAGGTAAACGTATTTATCAGGTTAGTTTACCATCGGTTATCATAATTATACTCTAGTAAAAAACAACATTGGAAACTTTATTTTCAAACACGCACAAATCTAATTGTAATGCTTACAGATATTTTTTTCGAATCTTAGCATTTACACACTAAGGGAGAAAGGGCATATGCAAAAAACTATTCATTAAACGTTTCAAACAAAAGCATAATTAATTTGAAAACTCCTAAAATATAAAAATTTGAATTACTGGCATATTATTTTTTGTCTGTTCAAACTTTTTAAAGCATCAATGTCTGTTTCTTTCATTCTGTTATTTTTACGATTACATGTCATTATTTCAACATGATATTTGTTATATTTAATAGTCTCTTTTCACGACAAAATAGTATTTAGGTAACTTTCTTCTTTTGTTAGATACTTAAATATAAGGATTGACAGTAATGTATTATAACTGATAATTTCAAAAAAGAAGAGAAAAACATGTATATTTAAATATTTAACATGGTTTGATTATATAAAATATTTTTAGTTGTTTCTGTTCATGCGCAGAATAATATACACGGCGACCTACTTTAAATTCTAATCTCAAGATAACAGTCTCCAAAATTAATGCAATGAAAACGTGTTGTTATTTTGCTTTTTTATTATAATCTATATACGCTTCTAAGTACAGAACTCTGAATTTATTTTTTTTATAAATTTAAATTTAGAGAAATTGATACCACCCTCTCCCATCTTCACCCTACACTCTCCCAATTTTAATTCGGTGCCCTTCTGAGTGTCTTGCCAGTACTTTTGGGTTATATCGGGGTCTGCGTTTGGGACTTTTACAAGCTAGAGAATATCATTATAGTTATTATGACTATCAAAAGAATCTTACCTAACCTTAACGTCTTAAAGAGATATTCTGATTATATTTTGTGGTTAAAAGTTATAAAGATCAGTTAACGCTTGGTTTTTATTTTTGCTGGAACTGTTGTCCTCGTAAATACAACCACAATTCTTTGGTACAAATCTTTCAACACATTGTGTGTTATCTTGCAGGGAAGTATCGCTTTAAAACACTCAATTCACAGATGCATTCAATGCTGTTGTTAAAGGGTGTTTTGACGCCCTTAGTTAGTCCTTCAGTTGATAGATGTAATTTAAGGATGTTAATGATGCGATCACAAACGCCATGCAAAGTGTTGGCACAACTTGTGTTAAGAGTTCGATAAAGTTACGCCGTCTTTCATAAAAATTTCGTATGTGCAAGTGCAAAAGCTATTAGTCAAATCGTGATGTCTACAAAAGATAAGAAAAACAACTATTAAACAGTCATCACATGTAACTTCTCGTAACTTCTCGCTATATCTCGTTACCATATTTAACGATGTGACCTTATTATTATGAAGGATTTTATTTCATTTTGTCTGCAACGAAAAATAATTTCACT